GAGTCTGTAATATTTTATTGGTGTCAGAAGAGGGATCTCCCTTGGACATGCTTTGTTGGCAAGCACAAGGTGCTTTGCCAGGCCTGTTGAGGCAGTGGGTTTGGTGTAACTGTAAAGATACTGTCTTTGTGTGTCTCTGTGCCATGAAAAACAAGACACTGACTGCCAACAACTGGGAGAAGAAAGAATTTGAGAAAGAGGGGTGGCAAAATCTCAAGCGGTTTGAGAGCCACTGTTTGGATGCTGATCATATTTGGGAGGAGTTTGCCACATGGTGGGCTTCTTTTAAGTTAAAGAAAGGAAAAGGGAAGTTGCTATGTGCTGGATGCTAGGCAGCTGTCAGAGGGCAGCAACGGATGTGACTAATGAGTCTGATTCAGAGAAAACTCCAGGAACAAACTCGCCAACAGAGTTTCAAGTTGACAAGCAGGTATTCTTTATTGCGGCGCCGGGAGACACGGGGGATAGCTCCTCCTAACGTGTGTCCCCGAATTGCTATACAGGTCATCCTTATATGGTCACTGGGCATATTACATCATTTTCCAGAAAGTTCCTGGCAAGCATACAAAAATGTGATGGTGGTCTTTAAGGGTCGTTTACTTTTCCCAACAATCTTCATAACCTGCTTAATCAACATTACAGACATAGCAATCATCCTGTCCTACTTATCAGTTAGTTTAACTGCTCCCATCCTGAACATCTGCTAGCCCCGGATACTCCCCATCCCCAGGTCCTGTTTTTCTATTCTGCTTTTCTTACACCTTTTGTACTAAGGTCCTAAGGACCTGAAACTATGTCAACTACCTTCAAGCACCGCAGCAGCACCTTCAAGCACCTTCAAGCACCTTCAAGCACACCATTACAAAGCCCTCAAACTTAACATTACTTAGAACTGATTACATTTTGTGTTTTTGTGCCTCCTTATCTCCAATAGAAAGGGGAAAATGTTCAGTTTAAAAGGATAACAAATAGGGAGCCAGAGAATGCAGGGAATGTAAGCACAATACCCAAATCTATCAGCGCTAAACCTAGACCAGGAACATGCAGGAAACAAGGGTGGGAGCTTAGTTCACTGGTAGTACTGGTGACCAGTGCTCCCACTGCTGAGAATTCGAGTCCAGAGGTGATGGTTGTGATGCACGGATAGACTCCACAGCTCTTCGCATCAGTTGTGGTTAATGATCCCTGCCTTACAATATTCCTTATTGACACAGGAGCCCAAATATCGATGGTAGGTAAGAAGCTTACAAAGGACAGCCTCTGCTTAGCAAGCAGTTGGCTTCTATTGTAGGCGTTAATGGGAAAATCACTAACCACCCACTGGTCAGGGCTAAACTAGCTCTGTCTAAGGGATAGACAATCCACCTGACCTCACTTTTAGGTTCCTGTAATATATAGGGTATGGATGTGTTAAAGGATCAGTAGTGGGGAAAACGGGGAATAGGGAACCACCCTCTCTGCCCATCAGTTTAGCTCCAACAAATGTATCCCCAAATGTTAATCTGTTGCAAACAGCTGCTCCTTTACCCATAGCAAGCTAGTTAATATTCCACAATACAAATTACCTTCTGGTGCTATTTGTCCTGTTACTGAATTGATAAAAGAGCTGGAGGAACAGGGAATCATTGTCACATCTCATTTCCCCTACACTTCTCCTTTATGGCCAGTAAAGAAATGTAATGGCAAGTAGCAACTAACAGGAGATTACGGAGCCTTGAACACTACCACTGAACTGCTCCCTGCAGCTGTTCCCAGTATAAATGATGTAGTCAGTTTTCTTAATGAACAGTCCCATGTGCTGAACCAACACCAGCAGGACGCTTTGAACTCAGTGTGGCATCCAGGAGATCGGCTGAGATCACTTGGAAAACACTGGATCACTTTGCAGCACTTCTGACGGAAAGGAATATGGGAGACTGTGGATGTTGTGGGATTGAAATTAATCATATCATCCAAGACCTAGGTCTACTTTCCCTCTCCCTGGGAACTGCTGAATTCCTAGACAAACAAGTGAAACCTGTCATTCAAGCGGCAAGTAGATAGGAAGTATCCATCTATAAAGTACGCTTAACTTTGTTAATGCTTTCTGTGGTAAAGTGGTATCACTGGAGATAATGTTGACAACACCTAAAAGTCAAGAGCCTTCCTGTATTGGACATTTCAACCCTCACACTGCGGCATCTGACGCTGTATTATGTAAATGTAGATGTATATGCAATGCCCAAACACACCCATAGAAGCTTGCAACCTCCACACCACTTCCAGATGTGCTCTTTGTTCAATTTGGGAGTATGAGCAGCTGTCTTGGGCGACATGATCTAATGTGAGATGTCCCTGCCCATGGCAGGGAGTTGGAACTGGATGATCTTAAGGTCCTTTCCAACCCTAACCATTCTGTGATTTTATGATCTCTGTTTGTAAGACAGGGATGACGACAGAGACAGGAATATTGGACTTTGGGTGCCTAAATCCTTTTTGTTGGCCTTCAATGTCTAGTAGCCCCAGATTATTCCAATACCTTTTCAGAAATGAGTAGTGAACTTCAGTGGAAGAAAAAGCTCCCTCAGAATAGAACAGAATAGCTTTCTCAGGACTACTCTCATACTTCTACAGCTTAAAAAAAAATAAATATATATATATATACACACATGAGGGAGGTACTGATGAACAGTAGTTTCAACCAATGAAACAAATGCTCCAGGCTGAAATCTCCTAAAAGCAAGTTGCAAGCTATCTCCACAGCCCAGATCACCAGACAGCAGTTAGTTTCTCAGGCACTCACTCTTCCTTTCATCTTCCTGATGGATAGTTCATCTGAGTTTATGTTCTCCTCTCTTGCCTTCCTTTCACTTCTCTGCCTCTCTTTCCAATAAGACTGTGATCTGTCACAGACTCTCAGTGGACAAGACCTATACCTCCCATCACTGTCAAAGCTAGTTACACTAGACAGGCCAGGATGAAAAGTGGTTTGGAAGGGAGAGAAGCTGTCATGCTTCAGGGCATAGACTTGAACTGTAACCAAGAAAGAGAGATGAAGGAGGGCTTCAGGCCAGGCAGGGAGAAAAACTTACTCAGGGCAGGTTATTCCATAATTACCCACTTAAACTTTTTTTATACCTTCTGAGATGCATCTGTTTCTGGCCAACATCAGAGACAGAAGGGGTGGATCACTGGCCTGATCCAGAAGGCGAATGAGTTTCTTCATTATTTTTGCTGGTGCATCTTCTGAAACTGCAGTGAAATCCCTTGCCAAGCATGACCCTTGCTCTGCCAGTGATAGCCAAAACCCCTTCCCCTAGCCCCATCCTTCACACTTCCACAAGGAATACAGAGAGAAGCCAGTACAAAGCCAGGTCAAGATTATAAGAACAAAGCCTTGAAGACTGCTTTTAGATACCAGCTTTACTTCAACAGAGGAGGAAATTTTCAAAGAAAGAGGTGAGCTCTTTCTGTCTCTTTCTCAGGCAGGAATCTCTTGGGAGGAGCAGAAAACAGCTTTCATTTTAGTGAGTCATGATATTTATGGCCCTTTTATGGGTTTTGTTTGAAAATATAAAAATAGATGGACTTAAATCTGTTTCAAAAGTGAGGGGATGGGAAGGGGAGAGACCGAGCATATGAAGGGCACGTGGGTCTGAATCATTTGCCCGTGTTCAAAAGAGGATCAAACACCTTCTTTGTTTTAATATGAACCCCTTCTACCAGTCATGAGGATAATGTCTGACCTTTTCTTGCATAGACCCTTTTATCCTTAATGACTTACAAATTTTCTATGTACACTACCACCAAGAACACTCACCTTAGGATGCAACTATTAAATTATGCAACCTCAGCACCATGCAACAGTTCAGGTGTGATTGCTCCCAGAAGCAGACTTTCAGATCACGTCTCCTGCAGAAATGAAAGCTTTATACTGTATTCCTGAGGGGCAACTGTCAGCTTCTGCTTGCTCGCATACCAGAGTCTCATGTGGGCTTTTATTCATCCTATTTGTGGTGTCTGTTCAGCAACTGAGATTGCTTAGTTTTGAGGGCCTCCTGCTTTTCAGATGTGGAATCTTCTCTGACCCTTTGCCTCTAGGCAATACTTTCGATCCAATTCACAGACTAAGGAGCACATGCTTTGCAAAGTTATTGAGGGAGGGAAGTTTAAATTGAAGAACTGGGGTTTGCATTTAGTTTTGAATGTAGTTAGGCCCATGGCCATTTTATCTGCTCTGGGAATGAACCTTCATAGATTGTGACAGATACTGGGAAATTTCCCTGAGCAAAATGTACAAAGCTCCCCATTAATTGGTAGTTCCACAAGGGCTGTTGTGTTTCACAAAGCTCTCCTCTCAAGCAAGGAGGGAGAGATGTCCTGCAAAACTAATGAACAGCTTTCAGCTGGATCTGAGTTCAGTATGGAGTCATTGCAAAGACCAAACTGCTGGGATGGTCCATGATGGTCCATTTGCAATGTTTAATACCAGTTGGTTGCGTGCTGCATCTTTCTTTGATATGGTGCCTGCAGTAATCAAATGGAGAAATCACAAATAGCAAATCTCTAAAATCAGGCATGTTCCTGGCAGGACCTGACCTGAAGCATGTAGCTATCTGGCCAGTTGTAAACAGTTCTTGCCACCATGGTTATTTTCTAATATCACTCAGAAGTGCAAAAAGACTCTTAAGACATTGAGCTCCAGGTAGATGCTGATGGTAGGTAGGTGATGCTACAAAAATGATCAGTTCCTTCAAATATTTCTGTGTTTTAACTAGTAGCATCCATGTCTTGGTTCAGTTTTATGCCTGCACATGTGCCCTTCTGACTGGAGTCATCCCTTCTTTCATGGTTACTTGTGCAGAACCCTTACACCAGTTTGTGCAAACTTGGTAAGTTTGAATCAGGTCTGAATATTTATTGATCTGACCTTGTCCATTCTGTAGTGTGTTCTTTAATTTAATGACCGTAAAGCATTCAGGTATGTTGGCATGAAGGGTGCACTGGAAAAAAATAGGTGATTGATTGATTGATTATGTAGAAGTTTTATTCTCTCCATAGTTAACAGTGAAGCTAGTTTTCCATTGTACATTTGTGTCATCCAGGGCATACATATCTGAAGTAAACCAGCCTGCCTGCATGTATGAATCATATATGGAAGCAGCTACACTCTCGTGTAAGGATTAAATTTGTCTATTTTAATGATACACATAAATAAAAATCTTCAAAATGCAATTCAGAGTGGAGGGTTCAAAGCACAGACAGGATGTCCTTTCTCCTGCTCTCTCAGACAGTTTTCATGTCACCATACCAAGATAACTTGGCACAGACATCCCAACATTTACCTGTTGGTCCTGGGAAGATCTGAATTCATACTGTTGCCTGCTTTTAGAAGTCACAAATATTTCCGCTTTTTATTTGTGTGTGCACCCTGTGGCATGGGAACAGCAGTCACAGGAAAACTCCAAGCTCAGAAGCTGCTGAATGGTTGTAACAGGGGGATAGAGATGGAAGCAACATGAAATCAGCTCCTTAATATGTTGAAATGTACCAAAGAACCAAAAGCAGTCTGGAAAAAAAAAAAAGGGAGGATTCTTCCATGTCCAAAAAATTTCTGTTCCTAGGAGTAGCCAAAATGGCAGGGTGTTCATTTAAGTGGATTATGCTGGTATTGGTAATACACAACCTCAATACACAACCTCTCTCCATTTTTTACATGAAGAACAATGTAACAAATATTACTAGCATTTAAATTATTACTCCTGGGCAAGCAAATTAGCACCTTGCTGAGACAACTGGGATAATGCACACACCATTTAGAGCTATGCTTCCACCTCTCTAGAGAATTGTTTATTTGTTACATATAGTTCCAATTTTGAAAGTTTTCTTCACAATTAGAACAGCCACAGATTTAACCCACTTTCGTTTTCCTAGATGACAGGTGAAATTCCAGAGAATGGGTAGGTAGCCCACAAAGAGATTTTGCTGGAGTACATGAATACACAGTGTCTGTTTCCAAGCCCTAGACTATGTTAATCACATTCTTTCTGCATCAATGTTGGACTGTCTGTAAATTTACGAAGGCCATGGATACTGTGTTTTCATGTTATAATGTCTTTATTGAATGTATTCTAGCTGAATCCTTTAAGGAAAGGCAGGTAATGTGACATAACCATCCCCAAGCAAAACTTCTTGTCTCATAATTCACCTAGTTCTCCAGTACAGCTAACGTGTAAGCATTTCTCAAGGAGCTGTGAGAGAAGGAAAATGGTGCTAAACTCCTTTTAAAATTATCCAGTCTAAACTAGTGCTGCATGCAATAAATCACATTGCTCTGAAAATCCTAAATGGGGGAATGGGCCATGGCCTCACACCTATCAGCATTATGACGAAGAATGCAGCTGTTAACAGTAGGAATAACTTACTTCTGGCATATTTCTGCTTCCTTCCAAACTTGCTTCTGCACATTGAATTCCAAGTCTAGTACAGATGTCTAGCACATATGTCATTTTATCATCTCTCTCCTACTATGATGAGTACCATTTCCATTTCTCCCAGTCCCCTTCACATTTCTTACCAACTTGTAATTTCTGTAAATCCCACCATCTTCTTCCTTCCCACAGCAGCTGCCCCATAACCTTTCCCCAGATTTTTATACATCTAAAGAAATCAATATTTTACATTAGCCTCCTCAGCTTACATACATATCTTACTGTCTCCATCCAGTGCAGGTCCCCTTCTTCATTTGCCTGTTGTCTTCAGAGCTCTTTTTGAACACTCACCTCCTAGCTGTCCAGCTTTCATCACTTTCTTACTCCTTACTTTCATCACTTTGTTATTCCTTACTTCACACAGACCAACTTCAAATGGGTTTCTCTCTCATGTATCCTTCCACATATGCTGAGTTTCTACATTGTTCAAAGGACCTTAAGGAAACGGAGTAGTAGAAATGAGAGGCTGGCTGTGAAAAAACGCAGAAGGACTTGATGAGACTGAGCGCTAAAATGGCAGATGACATCCAAGGCTAATAAATGTAAAGCATTACAAATAAGAAAATTTAACTTATGAAATGATGATCTCAGAGCTGACCATTGCCATCCAGCAACCATATTTTGTGTATGTAATAAATATATACTGGATACTATGTGAGGATCTGGTCCCTTGCCTCAAATATGACAAAGCAGAACTGGAAAGGGTTCAGAGAAGAACAGCCAGAATAATCAGAGACATGGAGCAGCCCCCAAATAATGAATAAGTAATTTGGGCTGAGAAACTGAGAGCTAAGGATGTGGCATAACAATAGAAGGGGGTGAAATCCAGTGGGGCACGTACATACTACCTAGAGATTATCTCTAGGAGGCTAGTGGGCAGTGGGTTCAGAACAGACAAAAACGAGATGACACAGCATTCAGTAAGTTGTGGGACTTCTTGCCACAAGAGATCACCAAGGCTAGCAGGTACAAGGCTATAATGGCTATAACTCAAAAATTACTAGGCACCTCCACAGAAGGAAAATCTATCAAGGGCTATTAAATAAAGAAATATCACATCTGGCTCAGGAAGTCCTTGAGTTGCAAATTATTAGAAACTGGAAGATCATGCTGGGGTAATATCACTTTATATTCTTCCTTAGGTTTTTACCGTTGTTCTCTGTCAGAGACAGGATATTGAGCCAGATGGACCTTTGGTCTGACCCCACACAGCCTTTCTGATGTTCCTGTGTTCATATTCTTAACTGACCGTATGGATGCTCCTTGCACTTTCACCTTCTGCTATACAATGCCAACAAAAACCCTCCTGCTTATAGGAGCAAACTGAGGCTGAGCAAAAATAAAGGTCCCAGCGCATTTTTGCTGAAAAATCCTTTGTAAATACTTACCTACTCTTTTAATCTAGTGTAAGACCAGCCACATTGCTGAAAAAACATTCACTCTAAAGCTCTGGTCACCTGAAACAATCTGTGCAGACCTCTCCCCTTTCACCGATTCCCTACCTCCTTCTAAATTCTCATCTTAAAACCTGAATTTGTAGCCTGCCTTCAGCCTCTCAATTTCTGTCTCTCCTGGTTATTGGTCTTATGACTGAATGCTTTAATATTTTCACCATGCAAGGTCTTTATGTCACTGTTTCATGTAATCTATACCTGTGAGTTACCCATCTCGCTTTCAAGCACAGGCCATACAACAGACTGCATGGAGTCCAAAATGATCCCCACCCCCTTACTGCTTTGGGGGTTTGGCTTTATTAACAAGGATATAAGCAATAAGAAAATAAAGTTCAGCTATTTCTAAGGCTTCTCCCTCATGACTGCTCAGCCAGCATCTTAGATGGACTCTCCCCAGCAAACAATTTTTATCTCCCTTTTACACAAGTGAACTAATAAGCCATCTACCTCAGTGAGTCAGCAGAACCCACATAACCCTTTCCCAGAAGGATCAAAACTTGCTATTAGGATGGTTTGGCTCAGGCTCGTTACAGAACCATATTCTGCCCCTTGGTCTTGAATAATTTATTTGTGCAACAGACCTAGATCACTGTTTAAATCAAAATGCTACCTAAACTGTAGGCTGTGCTGTACAGTGCAAAATTAAACCAATTACTGTATCATATAATGCTCATCTTTTACAGTGTAAGATGCCCCCTACAGTACTGCAGAAAACAGCAGCCAGGCATAGTAGGAAGCCAGAGATTTTTCCAAGGGAACCAGCCTTTGGTAAAAAGTAAACTCAGTGTCAGAAGGTATTGCACACTTCCACTTTGATCCATTGAAACTTAAAACCTTGAAGTGAATTAGAAGCCTTATAGAATCTCTGGATGCCTGAAACACAAACAAGACCATGTTTCTTTATGTCTTCAAAAATGTAATCTGAGTTTACTAAAAAAAAAGACAAAAAAACCCCAACCCCTCAGCAAAAAAAAGAACCCTCACAAGTAAAATATGTTCTTTCTCGTATTTTCCTACCCCTGTTACTGTTCAATCACCTGATTTTGAGACTCCATTCACCTGACAATAAGTAGCTATCATTTACCCTCATCCTGGCTGTCAGAAAGAGTCATCTTTGTCTTCAGAGAAGCAGGGATAACGTCTAATCAGTGAGTTATAGTTGAGAGTTTTAGGAAAAATGGCACTTGCATTTTGTTATCAGTAACCATTATTTAGATAGCATTGCTGATGTGCAATGTGGTGTCATACAGACAAGGACAAAGACCAGGCCCTCACCCTGTGGAGCTTACTGTCTATATTACACAATTAAAACAGAGAATGGTACTAGCATAATAGTAATAGTGAGCTCTAAGCATCACAGTGGGAGGGAGAAGAGATGCAAGAAAGGCAAAATTTCCTGTGAGAGAGCAATACCACATCATCCCTCCATCGTTGTTTTATACTCAGCTCTGCCAGAGGGTTTTGTTGTTTCAAAATACAGCCTGTACAGAGGAGGGAACAGATAATTCCAGAGTAGAAATCAGGAGAAACTGGCCAAGGTGTTTATGAGAGAGGTGAAGGACGTGGACTGGTGACAGAGTTGGGTGCTTTGGTGTATCAAAGATGCAGTGTCACACAAGCCATGCAAGTGATGTTGTGGCAGGCCTGGCAGGTTGTGTGTCACATAAACTCACAAGGTTCTGCAGGGCATGGGAAGACCTGAGGCTCTTAACTTGGTGTACTCAATTAACATGGAAACTGTGCTCCTTCTATCCACTCTGTAAAGTGGGCTCTGTAACTCATGATACAAGCAACATGTTAATGTAACAAGCCAGCTAAACCTACCATCTCGTAAAAATGAGCTTCCAAGTACCACATTTGACGAACGCAACAATTTGTCCTTAGGTATATGGTGCATTCTGCCAGTGCTTTAGTTATATGTCATTTTATTTTGGGGTCAGTTTGTGTATCATTCTTTTAAGGAAATCATGTTGAAAATTAATACAGGACAATCTGACTATAGACATAAAACCCTAGACTTAGCTGAGCTGCATACATAAATCAAACTGAAGTCAGTACTTCAGAAAACCAGGCTAACCTAACACTAATTTTAGCCCTAACTCCATCTCTTTAACTACATCAGAACATAATTTTTAAACTGCATTTATATTACTACATTTTTGTTTTGTTGACCCAAAAATAGCAGGAACCAGCCATACTGGAGCAGAGAAGAGTCCATCTAATGAAAACAATGGTACCACAGGAATTACATTCATTACTGCAGTGAACTTCTGAAAAAAAAAAGCGGCATCTTTTTTTTCCTAATATTCAGCTTTGCCTCTCCTACTTAGTGAAGCAAAACAGTACATGTATTTCCCTGAACTGTCTTATTTCTGTAGACATCCATGAGATTGGTGCAGAAAATGGAGCCTACCTGGCAGTATCTTCTCAGTGGCATAAAGTAAAACTGATTAAGAGAGAAACATTCTTCAAGTTCCTCGAAAAGGCCGTTGGCTTCTTCCATTTATGATCAAAAAGATCCTAGAAAAAATATGTCCACTCTTTAACGAGACTAGGAAATTGAAATAACCAAAATGGGATGTGATTGGTCTTTTTACTTGAGGTGCTTTTGCTACTGAAACATCGTCTGTCTCCTAACAGCTTCTAACATTGTGCTCCTACCTACATGGATCATTTAACACTAGCATCTTCTTTCTGACAAACCACAAACACTTCCAAAACTTGACCTCTTCCCTTTATCGCTTTTGATTAAGAATAGAACTATCTGCAAGAAATGCCCTACAAACCACAAAGGATTATCAGAAATATAATGATGAGTGATTCAGAGACTCTGTGGCTCTGCTTGTGTTTCTGTAATCTCATCTTGGTCACTCTTCCCTTCGCTGCCGAAGCTTTGCTGTAGTTTCTTCTACTCGGTTTCTCCAAGCAGCAATAATGGCATCATCATCCATCTCTTCTTCCTCTTCTTCACGCATGGTTCGCCTGTACTGTGAGAACTGTCTAGATGCAAATCTTTCTTCACTTTGTTCCACTTTTGCCTCCTTTCCATCCTCTTCAGACTTTGAAAAGCTCTGCCTGAACTTTCTCTTAGCTCCAAATTCTGACATGTCTGACGTGGCTTCCTCTTCACATGCCTCCACATGATATCTAACTCTACTCTGTGTAGGTGGTTCAGGGAATTCAGAGTCAAAGGATGGTTCAAGTGTTTGTCTGAAAACATGGAGCTCTGGGCAATTTTCTCTGGAACTTGTCTCACTGATCCTTGACCTTGAGAACTTATACATATTCTTGTCCTCTTTTGCAGAAGCAGAGGAAAATCTTGACATGGTTCTCAGTGAATCTCCTTTTGACTCGTAGGAAGAAGAGCTGTCCAGCTCTTCTCTTTGGGATCTGGAGATTCTGTAACTGGATGTTTCAGAATCCATCTCTCTAACTGTGGATGATCTGCTGTATTTCTCTCTAGCCTTCTTGCTTTGACCATAAAATGATGATGGCTCTCTTTCTGCTTTCAGGCTGCTGAGCCACTTGGTAATATCAGTCTCTGTCTCTGACCTCGGTACACCTGTGTTTGCAGGTTGACTGAATAGATCAAAGATTCTGTCACTTCCTTCAACATGTGCTTGCAAGGGGTGCCTGTGGCTGTTTGTTGTACTCTCTCTGTCATCTTCTATTTCCTTGCCCTCTCCTTTGGTCGTCTTTTTTTTAAATGAAGTGCTCCGTTTATTGTCTCTGATCACCTTTTCAGTTTGGTAATCTGTCATTTTCTCTCTCATTTCCATTTGCATCTCCTTCTCCTTCCTCCTGATTTTCTTTAAATCAACCTCATCAGCAAAGAGGCTGTACAGTGGCGTGCTTGTCTGTGTTGTCTTCATGTTTGAACCAGTCCTTTCTGTCCTTGCATTTGCTGAGGTATTGCAAGACAGGACAGGCTGAGACTCAGCCTTGTGCATGTCCTGCTGGCGAAGCTGAGAGGTAGCAAGAGATGAGTTACTTCGAGCACAAAGAGGATAAACTTTATCATCATCTACACCACTGCCAAGGTCTCCTGACATTATGGAGGCCATTACAGATGATGGACGGGACAGCATCATGATCTCATTTTGCTTCTGAGCAATGGTTTCACTGACCACGTTAGCGATCCAGTTCTGAATGCTTGCCATGGATATTGTATCACCTGGGCTGACTGGGAGTTTGGGAAGGGGTATACTTGGCATCTGAGGCTGCATTGCCCCTGTATTGCTCCTGGTCTGTGATAAAGATGAATGATTTATCTGCATGCTCAGTGCAGAAGCTGCATCCTCGGCACCGCCTGCAGAAGGTTCTGAGGCCCAGAAAGCTGACAGTGGGATACTCCCACTCATCGTACTGTCTGTCTCCCAGCTACACATGGACTGGCTTTCTGCTAAGATCTTCTTTGTACGTTCAAGGAGCTCTACACGCCTCTGCTTCTTTTTAGCTGATGCAGAATCCTCGCTTTTGGCGAATTCCACAAATTCCTCCTTGCTTTCACTGCCCACCTTCTTCTGGCGCTTCATTTTCCAAGCTTGGTAGGCAGTCAGGTTAATATCTGACAAACTCTTTCCTTCTGTCCCCTCTATACCTGCATGGCTGCCATCTTCTGCTGGAGATGGTGCACCAGATGATGATGGTTCTAAATCCTTCTTGTGAAAGCCAAACTGAATCCTCTTGATCTTCCACCTTTCCAGAGGAGTCAATTTGTCTTTCTTCTTTTGGCAGAAATTGTAAAAGGAGCTACTGTCTGAAAGCACACTCTCCTCATCCACATCCCTGTCCTCTCCTGTTTCTGGGGGTTGTCTCTTCCCACAGTTTTTATTCTTAGAATGATACCTTCGAGCAGCTTCCTTCTCAATCTCCAGAAGCCTCTGGTTCCACATGTCCCAGGTGCTCTCTGAAGACATAGAGCCTGTGCGGCTCCTCCTCATCCTGCTTAAGCTACTGGCTTCCAGCTGTTGTCTTAGGGTTCGAATCTCAAAACTGCTCACACTCTCAACATCATGAAATTCACCTGGTGGGTAAGGTTTTCCTCCCATGCTGGCATCTCCGTACTCCTCTCTAGGTGGACTCTCAATTTGATATTTCTCATTTCTGCACTGCCAGTCATGGATCCTCTGTTCCACATCCTCCTCAGATTGTTCCCCTTCCTGATCCAGAAACTTTGGTGATGTTCTTCTACCATGGTTAACTCTGGGTTCCTTTGTAGGCAGGCCTTGTTTCTTCCTCCATTCCTCATACAAGTGTTCCTCTTCCTCCTCACTGATGAGGGTGGAGTGTTTGGAAACCCAGCTAGTTTTTTCCACTGATGAAGAGCTCATTAAACTACCCAGCAGGCTGGTGGTGTCCTCTTCTTCTACTGTGATGGAGTGGGCTTTGGCTCCCATGACACTTTCTGAGTCCCCAGCTCCAGATGGCTGGGAAGAAGTCCCTGCACTGACAACAGGACTTTGACTAGGAGTGATTTCTTCACTTCCAGTATGCTCCAGCTCTCGCTCTTCCAACAATTGCTCATTGAGATCCCTTAGCTGTTTCAGAAAGCCATCATTGGGGTAAATGGCACGCTTCTTTCTCAGAGTCATCAGAGCCTCCAAAACAGTCATGTGGTGGTAGATCATCAGGTAAGCAGCCACCAGCACAGCTGAGCGACTGATCCCCATTTCACTGTTGACAAGGATTTTGCCTACAGATATTGAATAGAGAAGCAATTAGCTATTTCCAATAACATAGAGAAGTTGCCCTGATATATATCACAATAGGATTCTCTGAATAGTGTTAAAAATTATATGCTATATGTTTCGGTAACTGAAAGCAGTACTAAATATTTGTTAGCTTTATCTTAACAAAATCTAGATATGTATGAATAAAAAGCACATTAGTATTAAAAGTCATGGGCAGGCACATTTTAAAACAAATAATATTTGTATTTTCACCTACACACTTCACTTCCCCAAATAATCAGAAAGCTGTTAGTACATATTAGAAAGACAAGTGACACACTATTCTTGACTTGCTGGCTGACATGGGGTAAGATGTTTAAGCCTTCCATGCTTCAGTTTCCCCATATGTAAAAAGGGAGATACCAGCATTAGCCTCCAGGAAGGTACTAGGAGGATACTCAAATAACTTCTTTTTTTTTTTTTTTTTACAGCACATTATAGGACTGAAATACAATTTAATATTATTTTTATTATTTTTTTTCCAGAATCCACATCTGCTGTTTTGCAAGGTACATTCAAAGATTTGCATATAGACTAGCTAGAGGCCAGAGTCATAGTGTATCTCAGCACGAGAGAACCAAGCAACTAGCAGAAGAGAGCAGACCTTGACTCTGACAAATTGGTTGATACAGCTGCTTCAAACTGCTGGTAACCACTGTTCTGCAAACAGTGACTGCAAGGGATAGAGCCAAAGCTGAGGATATGCTTTATTTCACAGCATTTACACAAGAACCACCTCTTTCAGAAAACTAAGCTTTGGCACAGAATTATTTTTAAAGTTACTTTTATAGCAAATTACAGCTAAAGGAAAGCTTGTAAATATGAAGAGAGGGTAAATGAGGATTTGCTAGCTTGCAAATAACTGAAATTACTGTTTCTACATGTATGATAAAATCCAGTTTAATTAAACTGTTTGCACTGAAACTTAATGAAGCCAGTTTAAACACCACTCTTCTGCCTGCTGATATGTTACTGCAAGTATTTACCTAATGAACCTATTTGTACAATCCCAAAATGTCTTTTACACTTAGTATCAAGAGCCTCAGTTGCCTTCGAAGTGTTTTAAACAGCCAGTGAAGTCTATCTAAAAGCTCACCAAAAGGGGGAGACCTCATTCCTCTGCTTTCTGTCAAAGCTTCTCTGTCTCCTTTCCTGTGTCAGCTCAGGTACGCACTGGACCCTTAAATGAGGTAGCTCAGCAGACTAACCCAAGTGAAACCCATCTCTTCCCTGCTTGACTGTAATTTTTTGCTAGTTTAATGAGCTGAAGGGTCAATGAATGCCATCAGCAGTAAGCACCTGTACTATGCCAAGTGTAGCAATGGGAGTTATGAGGAACATCAATGCTCTTCCATATGCCTCCTCATGGTGCTTGGTGAGCTATTAAAATTGGCTCAACTTTTCTTATGTAGTAACAAAACTTCTCACTTTTCTTCCTGTCACTTCTACTAGGAGGTAATCTGTTGTGTCTTTACAAAAATTACATGCATTGAATATATATATGAAGAGTATCTGTGATATCACTGATTACGGTGTTCATTTTCATATTGAATTCCATAAATATATTTCTATCTGTCCACTGAAACTGCAAAAAAATTGATCAGCATGTACTGGAGGTCCACAGAATAACAATTGCCATGAAAGAGGAGTCCAGCAAATTGTACAGTAGCTTGGGTGTACACCCAGGTGTTCAACCCAGCTGTTTGGATTGTTCTAGTAAATCAGCCTGTTCTTTTGCATCTTGGCAAAAGTGAAACTTGCAGTGTACAATATATATCAATATATAGTATTACATAATATTAATATCTTAAAAATATTTATTGTAGCAGGGCTTTACCTCTTTGCAATAGGCACTTTTATAGCAGCTGAGGGAGGTGCCTTACAGCCAGGTTGAGTCTGAAGACACGGCTTGCAGCAAGAACAGTCAGGCTGCCTACTCTCACTAGTTTACCCCCTCCTGTTTTGATTGGGGCATGGCAAAAAGAGGCAAGAAATGTTCCCTGTAAATGGATAAAAAGAACGAAGTATCTGCCTTCTACCCAGCTGCAAATGTGGCATCAGCTGTTCATCATAGTAACGCTTCCACCCATTAATTCCCAAGCACTATGGAACCACGGCAATCTCCTCTTACCCCTGTAAGTCAGCAGTGCTTCATCAAGGAACTCTGCAGCTGGGCGAAAGTGTTTGGAGATATCCATGTCTGGAAAATCATCCACTTCGATGCCCAGGTACTGGATATTCAGACCGTTGTAGAAAGCTGGGCCTGTGTATACACCTGTACCATGAGCTGCATTCAAGACATGTGTGATCCCCAATCTTTTCAAACGGCTTTTGTTCACTGCAACACTTCTTCAGAAAGGAAAAAAAGGTTAGGTATCAGTGCTCCCAGTAGGAGAGAAAGTGTCTGTTACAGGTCTACAGAGCTCCCAGTCTTTATATACACTGTATCTAACATGTGGCTCCCCTCAGACCTTAATGTCTTTTGAGAGTTCTACAGGTATTTCTTTTCTATACTCACTGGGAAAAGAAAATGAGAAACCTGCACTCACCCCTAGAGCTGCATGTGCAGTTTCCAGTCCAGCTTGATTTTAAACTCATCCTGCCATCCTAAGTTCAGGCTGATTACTTATTTCTCAATTTTTATCACACCGTAATTGTTGCTTTACCCTCTATCCACTAATTCTGTCTGGTCACTTGCACAGGTGTCTCAGCTGAGCCACAGTACAGAAGACCTAACCATTCCACTCAGTATTTGATATGTTTCTTTTTTAACTCTCTTTTACATAATAAAGACTTTACTTCCAATTTCAAGGCCAGTTCCAATCAGAACAGTGTAATTTGTGCTCATTTGCCTTTTCCTCTCCCAAATTGTTGAAGCATCAAAAGAGCACAGGGAAGTTGCTGATTCTAATCCAGAAGTATTTTTCAGTGCAGAGGTCTTTGTGAGTATATTCTGAAAACCACTTTGGAGCTCTCTGGGGATGAAAGGTATTAGATACATTTAATACATGTTATGCCTTCAATGGTTCCATCTGACCCTTCAGTGGAATCTCATGCAACTTGATGACAAAAGCGGACACTCACTTTTCTGCTATGAAGACATTAGGCCAGACTTCATCCACAGCATCCCTGGGGGTCTCTAGCCTGTCCTTCACAAGTCCCCTCTGCAAATCCATCACACATGGTGTGTTAAACAAGCTGGTGTCATCAATCTTTTGCTTAACTCGGTTGTACAGATCTTCCACCATCAGCTGCCGTGCAGACTCTAACATCCTGGGACATGCTGAGTCTACATTGGCATCCTTTGTCTTCAGTTCTGGAATAAACTGACATTGTAACTAAAAGCATGTAAAACCCATGCAAACATATGACCTGTCATTCTTTGTTCTTTCTTTGTCAATTCTTTGTGGATTGCTTTTTTTCCCAGTAACATCACACCATCCTGTCTGCCATGTCTGCATTATGTGCTCATCTAGAAGCCTTAAGGTAGTAATAGGAAGAGCATATTGCACTGTCTTCTCAGTACACAGACCCACATTGGCCAAAAGCCTGGGATTTGAGGGCTCACTCATTCTAGCTCCACAAGAAAGCAGTCTACAGCTTCCTGAGGAGGAGAAGTGGAGAAGGAGGTGCTGAGCTCTTCTCCCTGCTATCCAGTGATAAGACACGTAGGAATGGTTCAAAGATGTGCCGGGGAGGTTCAGACTGGACATTAGGAAGCTTTTCTTTACAGTGGTCAAATACTGGAGCAGGCTTCCTAAACAGGTGATCAATGGCCCATCCCTGTCAGTGTTTAACAGGCCTTTGGACAATGCCCTTAGTAACATGCTTGAGCTTTTGGTCACCCTAAAGTGGTCAGGCACTTGGACTAGATGATCACTGTAGGTCGCTTCCAGCTGAAATATTCTATTCTGTTCTATTCTATTCCATTTGTTACAGAGCAACCATCAAACTGTATTCATCACTGTGGAAGATGATTCTGCCACAGATTCAGTTCACAACTTCAAAGGAAGTCACCAAAGCTTTCTGTAAATTGTCATTTCTTTGTGGTTTCCATCGCTGTCTCAGGTGGGGCTTTTTTATCATTTAGGACCTCTGTATGAGAAAGGCAAACCAAGTGCAACTCAAGTTTCTACTACTTACATATTTATTTTACTCTATATCTCCTCTTACCTTCATTGATTATCTGTTTGGCAGCCACAGCAGATGACAGATGGATTGGCTCCATGAAGATGCTCTCTGTATCAGCATCCGACATCACTGAATACCTGCCAACCAACCAAACTGCCTATTAGGCAAATGCCCTCCACTGGGATCCCATCTCCAGACTTCAGCCCTTTTCATCCATTCCAGAAGAGAGCAGAAGTAACTGGTAGAAGGAAGCCTCAGCTTTTCTACCAGCCCTCAACCCCTGCTCTCCAGTGTGGCACTACAGGCTTCAAATATGCTGTGGTATCCGGTGTTTGCAGGATGCAGACAGATACCACGCGGAAAAGCTGCAGTGGGCTGGGAGTGCAAGAGAATAGACTGGTGGAGGAGTTTTTGGGTAGAGAAGATCAGTGTCTGCTTTGGGAGTGGGACGGGGAAGGATCACAAGGAATAGTCTCACGAGTAGCTCTCAATTAAGATAGACACAAACATTGTCCTAACTAGAATTTATTGAACAATTCAAAACAGATTATGCTAGAAAACTGTTTTTTTCCTATCAGCTAATTACCAAGAGGCATCCTTTTGAGTTATTGCAAGCTGCAATACAAGCATTAAGATTGAAGCCTGTGAATCTCTCTCTGAGTACTCATTGAACACTTTGTAGCGTGAATCTATGGACAGTCTTTCCACTCACACAGCATTGTCTATCTGCAGGTTAGTAAACAAATATGAAACCCACAAACACCTTTGACAGCAGTTCTCTGACACAGCGTGATTTACATACGTTTTTGTTACGCTAAAAAGGGCTACAAAACCAAAGGTATTTCCAACTAGGTCGACCTGTACAGTCCAAGCAAATCTTTCCTTATTTAGACTATCTTAACAAAATGTTTTACAGAGCTTTTTCCCTGATGCACACCCTCTAGATTTCCTTCCAAATAGATGGCACAGATCATCAGGACAAGTTTGTAGCCACCATAGTTGGCAATGAAGGCTTGCAGTACTTGCAACACACTGTGTGGTTTTGTTTAAATAAAGCAGGAGAGGGAGGATGATTAACGTGCGGTCAGGGTGCAGCAAGTGTCTGGAGAGCTCAACTGCCTTCATTCTCCAGAATCAAAATGGAGGGCACAGCCATAGAAAACGACTTAATGGGCTCATCTAGGTCATTTGGTTGGGTTCCAACACTTGTCAACTGTGACTGAAAGTAATCCTTTTCCAGCCCTTCAAAGGAGTTTATGAGATGAGCAAAAGGAGTCTCAGTCTCATTTACAGGAGCTGGCACAAATTTGCAGCTATTCCCTGCTTTCAATTCCTTTTGCTGGAAAGGTTGCCTCCAATCTTAATAAAAAGATAACAGCTGGTAATAATCTGCCACTACAGCCTCAAGAGATTTTAGCTGTAGCTTCCTCAAGCATCCATGAAACACATAGGTACAGAACTGCTCAAGCCTGGATGCTTCAAGTGCCTCATTCTGGTTGGGAAGGACCTTACCATTTTCATCATTGCTCTTGACATTGACAGCAAGACAAAAAGGAGGAAAAAGAAAAAAAAAGAAGAGAAGGAAAAGGAAGGGAAGGCAAGAGAAGGCAAAGTGATACACAGGAGAGGTGTTTCTGTTCACTTTGAGTGACTGATGAGCAGTAGGAGCGTGACTTACCAAGTTCAATACATGATTTTACTGTGAGTTCAGTGAACAATTTTAAACCACATTTAGTTAAATTAAATAAGCACTCTCTCTTCATTTTTTTGCAGTGACCCACAGGTAATGGGAAATATTTCATAACCTCCTACTTGTTGAGGGCCACTGGGATGCGGTCTTCTCAATCCCCACCCACTGCCTTCAGCTTAAATCATCTCAAAGTGTACAGAAAGCCCGGCAGAGCATTTTGCTTTAGGAAAAAGAGTACAAATGGATGGTTTTTTTCCTTATTTTAAGAGAAAACACACCTAATCATGCTTGTTTTGCTTGAGGTAACTCAATTTCTGCTTGCGCTGTGACAGCCTCCTGTTTAGTCCCTGAAGCCTGTAGCTAAGGATGATTCTGAAGCATCCCAAATCCAAAGACCCTCAGTCTTTTAGGGGCTGGGAAAGGCTAATATCAACATAAAAAAATCCACAGGTCCTTAAAATAGAAGGACAGGGCTGAATTTGGGAAGAGAAATTCCAGCATGGGCGTGGATGTAAGAGGTTGAGACAGGGAAGAACAACAATACCACCCTGTAGTAATGCTTTCTGCAACTTAAGCCCCCTGTGTGTGCATACACTTTTAGCAGCATGGATGAAGTAGTGCAGGAGTCCTGTCTCTGAATTCTCTCTCCCTGCTGGCATGCTAACCCCCACCACAGAAAAGGGAAGCTCTGGGATCCATGCTTGATCCTAGTGTGGGTGCGGAGAAGAGGTGTTAGAAGAGGCGGGAAGGCAAGCTGATCTATTACTGTGCTACCAGGAGGCTGTGGCAGTGCCTGCGGCAAAGCATACTCACCGGCTGGGTGAGGGGCTGCGGAGGTAGTGGGCCTGCACGGCTTTCACGTCTGGTCCCTCATCCTCCTCACTGGGCACCACTTGCTCGCTGTCCAAATCTCTGCTGCTGGCCATGGCAGCTGTGAGAGGATCTGCTGCAAGGGGAGCATGGCAGGAGGGAGGGTGTTATAGAGGAGGCCAATCTGGGTGGCGGTGGTTATGGCAGAAGGGGCTCCCACATCTTGCTTCTACAACCCTGTGAGGGGCCCTTGCCACAAGACAGCCACACTGGCCCCTCTGCCAGGGTGCCTGCCATTCCTGAAGCCTTGTGCAGCTCCCTGGCTGCTGCCCAGCAAGCACTCATATCCTTCTTGCCTGTGAGGAAGGCCAGCAAGGAAGGGGTGGCAGGGAAGAAACTCTATCCCCTCCCTGGCTGGCTCAGCCATGCATGGTGGCTGGAAGGAGCTGTACATAGTCAGAGCTGGACTGGAAGGAACATGAGGGGCAAGAAACATGAGACCTCACCTCCCCAAAATGAAACACTCCTGAAAACTCAAGGCCAAATGTACTTCAAGCCTTGGGCCTTTGTCCTTGTAATCCTTTGTGTGCAATCTGCTGTGCCTGCCCTGGGCATGGGAGACCAAGGGGGCCACAGCTTAGTTAAGAGCACGAAAACACAGCAGCCGATGTTCCCTGGGTCCAAGCAGGGCGACTCCTGTCCCGCTGTGCCATGACTGCTGCTGGCGGCTCCAAAGGGCCAAGCAGCCAGACTCAGGAGGGAGAACCGCAGCCATGTGCCACTAGTGGGTGAGGAGCAGCTGCTGCTCATGGGGCAGTGTGAGAAGGGGGAGCAAAGAAAGCGCACTTACCCCTGTGCTGGGGGTCCCTGCTGGAGGTACGGAGATGAAGTCCAGTGAAGAGGGCAGGAAACCTGGCAGGGGACAGTACTGGGGGGAGAGAAATCAGCCCTCCACTCTCGCTCTTTCTGTGGCTTCTTCATCAAGGGGCAGCACAAGTGTCAGCACCAAACCTCTATCAGCTTTCTAAATATAGTGCTATCCTAACACTGGCTGCTGGATTGCACAGGGAAAGAATTCAGTGCCTCATAGATGGCAGCTGGTCAAGTACTTAACTCCTTCCCTGCTGTGAGCTGGATCCTCTGATTTTTCCCAGTTGCAGGAGGAGCCCAGAGAAGAGCCCAGAGCCAGTGGGGCTGAACCTCTGCCTGCAGGGAGCATCCAGGCAAGCAGGATCCCACAAGCACAAAGTGAAATGCTGGTATGACTTCTGATGTCCTTGGGAAACACAGTGAAGCAGACTACCTGGTCTTCTGCAAGGGTTTTGATATTGTTCCCCACAACATTCTTGCCTCTAATTTGGAGACAGTTGGATTTGATGGATGGACTATTCAATGGCTAATGAATTGGCTGGATGGCTGCATCCAGTTACAGTCAGTATCCAAGTATCCAGTACTGATCTCCAAGTACTAATCAGTACTTGGAGATCAGTAACAAGTGGTGTCCCTCAAGCTTCTGTACTGGGGCCAGTACTGTTCAATATATTTATTAATGACATAGACAGTGGGACTGTGTGCACCCTTGGAAATTTTGTGGATGACACCAAGCTCAGTGATGCAGTTGATTTGGTAGAGGGAAGGGATGCCATCCAGCATAACATGAACAGGCTTGAGGAATGGACCCATGTGAGCCTCATGAGGTTCAACAAGGCCAAGTGCAAGGTCCTGCACCTGTGTCAGGGTAATCCCCAATAGCAGTGCAGTCTGGGGGATGAAGGGATTGAGAGCAGCCCTGCAGAGAAGGACTGAGGATAAAGGTGGATGAAAAACTGGATGAGAACCAGCAACATGCTTCGCAGCCCAGAAAGCCTGGGTAGCATCAGAAGGAGTGTGACCAGTAGGTTGAGTGAGGTAATTCTCCCGCTCTACTCTGCTCCTGTGAGATCTCACCTGCAGCACTGCATCCAGCTCTGGAGCCCCCAGTACAAGACATTGACCTGTCAGAGAAGGCCCCGGGGAGGGACACGAAAATTGTGAGAGGGCTGGAGCACCTCTCCTATAGAGAAAGGCTGAGAGAGTTGGGGTTCCTCAGCCTGGAGAAGAGAAGGCTCTGGGGAGACCTTATTGCAGCCCTTCAGTACTTAAATACTATAAAAAAGATGGAAAAACACTTTTTACCAGGGTCTGCAGTGACAGAGTAGATTTAGATTAGATATAAAGAAGAAATCCTTTACTATGAGGATGGTGAGACACTGAACAGGTTGCCCACGGAAGGCTGGGGGTACCCCATCACTGAGGTGTTCCAGGTCAGGTTGGAAGAGGTTTTGAGCAACCTGATCTAGTGAAAAATGTCCATGCTTGTGGCAGGGGGGTTAGACCAGACGATCTTGAAAGGTCCCTTCTGACCCAAACCATTCTGTGATTTTATGATTGTACGGTCATCTGAATTTTGTTCTTGCAAGAGCTAGGACTGAGGTACATTGTGTCTTCTTTGATTTTCAAAGTTCCCATCTCTTGACTTTCCAGCAAAGCTTGTGAGTCAGGCTGGTCTGAGGCAGACCAGATGAAAACCCAACTGCTATTTACCTGTACTGAGGGCTCCAGTTCTGAGTCATGCAATGACATCCCACTGTTGATTCCTTTTGCAAACAAACAAGCAAACAAGAAAGGAAGTGGAAAAGAAAACTGACCTATCTCATACTACAGATACCTTTGATGCTGCATCATGCTGCATAAGCCTGCATACCTCCCTTCCTTCAGACATGAGCGCTGCATCCCCACATGGGGATGGGGCTACAACTGTAGGGATGCCACATCATGGCAGGGAAGAGCTGTGAAACAGGCACTCAAGTCTTTGTGTTCTCCTATCCTAGACTGGTGTTAATACAGTTACTGGGGTGAGCAAGCAGGAACAAGAGAAAGTGGTATATTGAATCTCACGTGTCATGTAAAGGGAAGAAATGGATTACTGATTACAGGTTTGAAGACATCCTAATAATTTCTTGCACCAAGAGAGCTGTGTCCTCTGGGCAATGCAATTTTTATCTGCTTCTGCAATGCAGTGCCACGTATGTTCTTATCAATTACTGCTAATTGAGGCAGAAAGTGATCTAAAGATACTTGTGAATGGACTCTCTTCTTATCAGAGACCAGAATTTTCAAAGAACCTAACTGTTGTGGGAGCATGTATTCCATTGATATACAATAAAAACTTTTAAGTCACTGAGCTGCTTCTGAAAATCCTGTTTGTGAATCTTTAGGATACAGCTGCAGCAGGGTATGATGGCTAAACCTGAAAGCCCTGCCATGCCCACCACAACTATCCACATGCAGAGATGCAGAAAGGACTGTGTATGTTGCAGACTTGTGGAGAACATGCAGACTGCAGGCAGCCTGGCAGCTCTTCCTCCCTGCTTGTTACAAGTTGTTCCTTTTTGGGCTCAAGATGACCATCCAGAACAGAAGCAAGGATGATGGAAATCTTTGCTAATGAACATTTGCACATACAAACATAGCCAAAAGTAACAACCTGTAAGTGGCTGGGCATCTGTCAGTGATGATTAATATATCCATTCACAGATAAACCCAAACTGAATGTGGCCAGGTGCTGTCCTCTTAGGTGGGAATGATGAGACCTTGATCGAAGGTTCCTCTTTCTCAGTCTTAACAGGAGTTACTATCATTTAGTGTTAGCACTATGCTACCTACACATTAAACTTCATAGGCAAGCCTTATCATAGTATGTATTTTTGGCAAGACAATGAAGCCCCCCTAATTTCATATTAAATCTTTTAATGTCAATGACAGTTTCATCTAAATATGCTAATAGTATCCCCTAAAAATCCTATATAGAGCAAAAGGATTTCCCAGATCTGCTGCCATCAGCAAAAATGTAAGGAGTTTAAGGGCTTGCATTGCCCATGGGTGAGTGTTGAAGAAGTCGATGTGTGTCAGCCTATGCTAAGACACAGACTTGTGTTAGCGTAAGTGGGGCCATGGCAAAGCTAACAGAACTAACAAAATAAATAAAGTGCATCTAAACAAGTGTCTTAATATCAGATTTATGTAAGTAACAGTTATTGAGACATATGCTGTCTATGACACCTAGGAAACCAGTCTTATTTAGCTGAGTCTCCAAACAAACAGAACATTATCTTAGCACCAACTTATTTGTAATGCAACTATGTGGCTGATAGAGGCAGGGTAAAATTGTTCCCACAGTGAATCATTTCCACACCAGCATTTCTACACAGACACCAGGTAAGGCAGCCTGTCCAAGGTAAGGACTGAGATGAAATACAGTGCCTGTCCCTCCCCACTAGCACAGTGGAACTAGATGCATGCCAATATGCTTGGAGAGGATGCACCTTGTTACTTTTACAGTTAAATGACAAATTTATATTAAAACAGTTCATTTGTTTCAGTGTTAATGTGCAGTGCTTAATCTGCATTGCTGGTATTTAGACAGATTGCTAAACTCAGACCTGCTTTAGGTATTTGAAGAACACTATGTGCACTGTTTTCAGCTTAACTCTGCACATTCTCTCTATTGTGGGTTTTTACTGGCAAGTTAAGAAAACACACTAAACACCATGTATTTCCACAAGCAGTGGGATTAAAAAGCCTGGTTTCCAATGGACATGTGTTCCGCAGTCCAGATGCCCCAGTGTGATAAACACCCCTCATGGAGCCACAGCTCTGGCTCCTGTGCTTGCTCACTATACCACATTTCCCTACCTGCCTGGCTCTGCAAAAGATGAGACAGACCATGGTCAGGTGCACTGGCTGCACAACCACGGATTCTTGGAATGGAAAACAATAACCAATGCCTAAGAGGTACCATTAATTTAGATTTCTCTTTTATCCCAGCTGATTGGGATTGCTGATTTTTATGAGACTGAAAGGAACTTCCCATCTTTAAGATTACGATCTGTCTGTCAAATTTAGCTGAAATTGGTCAAATGGGTTTTGAAATTATTGTGGAGAAGAGAGCAAAGAGATGTTGTATAAATGACAATGAAAGTCTTATTTCTGTGAAAAGGATAAAAGCAAGCTTACCAAGTTGGTACAGAATGTATCAGAGACTGTAAACCAAGCTCTTCTGGTGAACATTCAAAACTGTTATGTAGAGAACTAACAGAGGGAAGCATGGGCAGATGGTGTACAGTGATGGCAATTCTGTCACTATCTCTGTTCATCAGATTCAGTTAAAATATTAAACAGAAGCAAAATTGAAAGAGTGAAACCTAATGATCCCACAGCCTCTCCAGGGAGAGGAGATATCTAGTCCAACCCTCAGCTAAGGCAGGGCCACGTAGAGCAGGTTTCACAGGAAAGCATCCAAGCAAGCTTTGAATGTCTCCGGAGAGGGAGACTCCACAACCCCCTTGGCAGCCTGTTCCAGTTCTCTGCTACCCTCAAAGTGAAGATGCTGAGATGAAACTTCTTGTGCCTTAGTTTATGGCCATTGCTCCTCATCCTGTCACTGGGCACCACTGAAAAGAGTCTGGCACGGTCCTCCTGGCACCTGCCTTTGAGATACTGATCTGTATTGATGAGATCCCCTCTCAGTCTCCTCCAGACTAACCAGGCCCAGCTCCTGCAATCTCTCCTCATAAGGGAGATGCTCCAGACCCATGATCATCCCCGTGGCCCTCCGCTGGACCCTCTCCAGTATCTCCTTGTCTTTCTATACTGAGGAGCCCAGAACTGCACACAGTACTCCAGATGGTGTCTCACAGGTGTTGAGTAGATGGGGAGAATCACCTCCCTCGACCTGTTGGACACACTCCTCCCAGTGCACCCCAGGATACTATTTGCCCTCTTGGCCACAAGGGCATACTGCTGGCTCATCAGTATGAGCCAACTGATCATCCAGCAATACTCCCAGGTCCCTCTCAGCTGAACTGCTCTCTAGGAGGTCAGCCCCCACCCTGTACTGGTAATTGGGGTTCTTCCTTCCCAAATGGAGGACCCTACACTTGCCTTATAATGCAGTGTATCAAAGATGTACACATATAGCAGGAAGGATTCTTTTCCTTTGAAAGATTGCCAAGGAATACATTTTCTGTACTCATACATGGTTTAATTTGCTTTGGGCTAACAGTGTGTTTGAAGAGAACTGAGATTATGTAACAAACACAGGAGTACAGATAGTCCTTTCTATCAGAGGGATTTGATTTCCAGTCACTTTTAAGTTTCATTGTCTTGGAGGTGTTTTGAACAACTGCCACACAGATGAAAAGGCAGCCTTTAGCATGGCTTCTCACAGGTTTACAGTGCAAGTATGGGGTCAGCACAAGATCAAGATCTACATCCACTTTCTTGGACTACACACAGATAACCACTGTAGCCACACACTTCTGAGGTAGCCTCGTTCGAAAATCAATACCAAGTTCATCAGTATTATCACTACGTTATGAGTATGGTTAACCACATCCACAATGCCTAAAATGATTGCTTACATCCTGAAAGTGACTTTGCCTCTCAAATGGCTAGAAATAGAGCATAGATGACTATCCCAGATGGAGACAGCCCTTGCTGCCTATTGGCAGTGAAGACTTTGAAAGACATGCTAGCCTGATGCACTAAATTAAAATGTCAGATATTTGCCTGAGCTGCCATCAGTCTCCCTTTTACTCTTAAGTCAATTATACTAGTAGTTATTTGTGCTTTCCAAGTACCCATCCAGAACACGTGAGCAGCTGCTGGACTCACACTGCACACACCTCAGTGGGTATATAATGGGTACACAGTGGGTATATACATGCTATGAGCATCAGGTATCTTCTTCAGTGGAAAGGTAGACAGGACTTTTGGTACCTGTGGCTGTTGTGCAAGCCACACAGTGGGAAAGCTGAATGGTAGACAAAGGAACCTGGATGAGCTGCATCTCACTTATGTTTAGATGACTCATTAGTCAACAAATTATCATAAATTATATATTCTTACTGGTATTACAGTAAGTGGAATTAGACACCTCAGTCCCTTAAAGCCTGGATGGGGGAAGCTGCCTGCATTGAGAAACAGTTCAATACCTCTGTACTCTGGCCCTAGGCTCCCTTAATAATTTTTTAAGGTGAATGAGGCTTATCCTCCACCAGTTACGTATCATCATTGGCATGACTTCAATTGTTGTATTGTACACTCACAGTCACCCCACCCTTCAGTTTGCCTCTTTATGCACCTTTGTGTTAGGATAAACTGGGAGAGGCAGTTTAATTGGGGAAGAAAGTTCACAATCGAGGAAGGAGTTCACAAGTCTGCTCTCTGCCTCTAGACAAAGAGCAGCAACCGATGTCAAAGCCTCCTGGTCATCTGGCTTGTCTTTCTGGCTGTGAGGGGAGTGGCAGACCACAGAAGCAACACTTCGTAAGAGACTGAGGAAAGGAACTTGTGAAGCAGCCATTCAGCTAAAATCAATTACCGGGCCACCTAGAGCTTACAAGGAAGAACACCTTGAGGGGAAACAAAGGAGAGACGAGGAGAACAGCAATGAAAAGACTTTGGCTGTTTGTTTTCAGTGCAAGTGAGTACTAATTTGGTTGTGTCCTCAAGGGCTGGGTAGGAGGAAACAACACTACAATGGAGTGCTCTAACGGACTTTGTGTGCTTCTTTTTCTGTTTAGTGACAGTTCCTTCATGTTTATGATCAAGCAGGGTTGTTTACTGTCTCTGAGCATCCAGACTCACAGGCATTTCCTAAAGCTGCAAGACAGCGTTAGGAACAGGAAAAGAATGCCACTCTTCATGAGGCTGGGAAGTATCTTTTAAAAAAGTTTTAACAGTTTTTGTTAAATACAGGAACTTCCTCAGCTGGGAGTGGAAAAGCCCTTGAGTTTTATTATTTTACAATTAAATCTGCATGTACCATACATTTCCATAGCCTAAACCCTGTTGTTTATATGTACTCTGATACAACTTGCAATCTCCGTATATTATTCATGTCAAGGGGATACACAATAATCCCTACTAACACATATAAATCAGCCAGCTTGCCCTTGATCACATATTTGCCTTTTCTCATTCTGTGTTTCAGAGCCTGTGGACTCAGTTCCACTGCTTCTTAACCTGTTTTGTCTTCTCATACTATGCTCCTATACCTTCTTCCAGGCTTCAAAGCTACACGTATGGAAACAGCTTGTTTTTTTTAACTAAAAACCTGAAAACCTCACTTCAGTAAGAGCCACAAGAATGAAATTCACAAAGTTTAACACAATTAGAAAAAGTGGATGTGCTCCATAAGCAACAAATGTTACTTTGCTCATGATTTGATGATCAATATGTAAACTGTGTAACACCACTGGTGGTCATTCTCCTTTTTAATTATTCTCCCCTTTCATGCTATCCAAAATACAGATGGGAAACTTTTCAGAGCAGAAACGTGTATGTTGGGTGAAGCTCTTCTTGCCTGTTTGGGCAGGACTAAAATGGACATAATTCAGTGTTAAAATACTAGCCTGTGAAAAAATTTTGAAGGTAGATTCCTGCAATTCCTGCATTGCACTGGAGTGGAGAAACAGCACAAGACACGGCAGTGCAGCTGAGAAGCCAGAGCTGCCCTGAATTGGCTGCATCAGGGTCTCTGCACAGGCTGACTTCTGCTGATCAGCCTTTGACTGCAGTTGTGTGCATAACTGGTGCTGTGAACTCCTTGCTCTTCACGGACATTGTTAATCAAACAAAATATTTACTTTTACTGCAAATTTCACATTTAAGATGTTTCCCCTCTCCCACTTTGGAACTGAATTTCAGCTAAATGCTGAGATTAAGTATTGAGGAATTAAAAGTCAAAGCATTTCCTTGTAAAAAACATCTCCACATTTCCTACTTTTCTCACTTGCTCAATCTACCAAGACAAATGAGCAATAACAATTTTGTTTGATCAGAATATCATTTTTGTTAGTGAACAAAATATCTTTCTCATTGTTTCCAGTTTATTAATTGCCCTTGGCACTAATTACACTTAGTAAGAAAAGTGTAAGGAGACAGGTCACTTTAATTTTCTTCTTCCTTTGTACAAGTATAAATGTTTAAGTTGAGCAGAGGGAGATAAACCTTTCTCCATTTCTTACAATGTTATAAACGTACTGATAATCTAAGGCTCAAATGTAGGTGATGCCATCCCTCTAGTACTACATAGGCTATTCGTCCTCTCTCCTATCCTGAAATTTTCAGAATTGGCCTGCCCCTTCCTTCAGCCATACTTCAAATAGATTTTGTTTCCTGTCAGAAAACAAACCAAAACTACCCATACAACCAACCCCTGCAGAATAAAGCCCTATTTTTGGACATTCTGACTAAGACCAGCTGCCTGTTGGTGGCTTTATGAGGAAGTGAAATGTAGTGAGAAGGAGAAAGGAGGAAATTGGTGTGAGTAAATGGCATCCCAGACTGCAACCGTGCAGCTTCCCCAAAGCCAGGACCCTTAATGAGGGAGGAGTGGGAGCCAGAAAGATTTAGTTAAAAATCAGATCATCAGAAGTCAGGCACTGGGGTGACAGCAACACATTAATAAGCAGTCTCACTTGTATGGGCTGCATCTGTTGTATGTGGTGTTCGGTTCAGCTGCTCCCTGACTCTGCACTGAAGACATGTTTGGAAAAAAACAAAGGCCTCATTTATGGTAGGATTTGACTCACCCAGTCAGAAGAAGGAAGAGCACTTGTGAGGGGAAACCTTAGGGTTGGGCCATCTTTTCTTTGCCTCAGGGCTGAGTTAGTAACTGGTCAGTAAATCCCAGCCTGGTGGAACCAGTTTCTGAGTGAGGGAAGGGTCAGGGAATGGTTTTCGCTCCATCTCCTAGTACAGACAGTAATCCTTTTCAGCTAATGCAGGAAAGTGTTTCTATCCAGTCCTGACAGGTTAGAAAGCTTTCTAATTCGAAGGCATGATGAGAACATCAACAGTTAGAAAGAGCTCTGCGGGCTACGCAAACATGGGTGCTGCACTGGATGCTCCAAAGCAGTGAAAGACCGGGGAGTGGCTGCAATAAAACCATATTAGCAATACTTTGCCCTGCTGGTTTCCTTCTCATAGCTGTCAGCAGCTGTAAACAAATTAATCCCAGAGAGAACAGAAACCACTACCACCATGGCACAGAGGAAGAGACTAAAACACATGCATAACTAATGAAATGCGCAAGACCACAGAGTAACTCAGTTATGGGACAGGGAATGCAGAAAAATGGGAACTTTGGCTAAAAGCAGATCCTCATGCCAATCATCCCATTGTACCCTTTGTAATTACCTGCATTGCTACCAGCAGTGACAACAAAACCTTTCGGGTCCCTACACTGTTGTTTTCTAATGGACACTACCGTTCACTACTGCTCTTGATTGCAGTCAAGGATCTGGTAATGCCCAACTTGCCAATGGCTTACTCACCTAATGCATGTGGCTGTGGTATTTTCTTGTCAAAAAAAAAAAAAAGTATTCGCAATCAGTTTGCAGCTCCAGGTGGAATCCAGACATCCTCTGCTCTCACTCTTGCACATTTCCTCATGGATCTAATCTGGAGACAGATGCGGCAGAATGAGGATGCAAAGCTTGCTAGATGGCAACTTTCCAGTCCAGTCCTCTCTGGGGAACACCGACTCAGCCTGGTTCTCTCAGAAGCATGCTTCCCCACCACATAAAGCATGGCCCTCTTGGGAAGAGCATAGAGCTCTACCCTCCTCCACTTTCTGCCTTACTGGACCATGTTTGTCTTTAACACAGGTGTGCCTCTGAGCAGTGCTCTTTCCTTTGTCCCTGCACTCCCTGTACCTAGTTTCAGACTTATTTTTTCAAATGATTCAGTTTTGTGCCAAAAAATGAAAACAAACCAAAACACAACAACTAACCAACCATACACACATAACAAAAACTGCAGGGAGAAAGCAGGTGGTTTTAAATGTGGGTTCCCACAGGCATGAACATCATCTAGGGCAGGGACAGAGGTAAACCTCCAGCTGAATTTTGAGAATACCTAAGGCCTGCCGCTAGTTTAGGTATGATGAATTAAGCATCAAGTCAAACAGAATAAAGCATACAAGAAACACCTGCCCTACCTGTGCCCTGCATACTTCACCAGGGCACAGATGGATTCCTCTGCTATTCAAGTCTCAGCTGTTCCTGTGCTCTACAGTTCTGAAGAAAGGTGACTACTCCCCTACTCATTTTTAAAAACTAATAGCTGTTCTTCTGTTTCTTTCAAGCTCTCATTACTTTTCTAGGTTTTTCTCTTTTCAGGGCATTACATGAACAGGCCTTGATCCCTTAGCACAAAACATCACTTGTCTATGGACTTGGATTGTAGCAAGTTCTTTGACAGCTTTACTGATCCCTGAAATTCAACAATACAAATCTGTTAGTTTAGCCTGAATCCTTAAGACTGCTTGATGCACTTGTATTATCTGTTTATCTGTGTACATTTAGAACTGTCAAAGGATATCAGACACATTGAAAGAGTACTCAGGAAAAAAAAAAAACAAATGAAACAAAACATCTTTATAAACTCCATGGCAAAGTATGTCCAGGTAAAGAAGAGGGGAGAAAGGAATGGGAAGTAGTTTAGCTCTTACCCACCCTGTGGAGCAGCTTCCTACAATCAGCCCCAGCCAACATCACCTCTTGCTTAGTGGGGAATGTCATAGATGACAGAGGGGATGTGGTGTTATTGTGGCATGTAACAAAAACAAAGAGACAAAATGTGGAATGCAGACACCATTAATTTTTGCTGAGTGCAGCATTTATTCTCTTCCCAGTTCTGGTGACTGCACATGCCCTCACTGTGGAAGCACCTGCCAAGGAAACACAAGTGGCACAAGGGAACAATGTTACCCTCTGCTGCCAGTTCAAAACCGAAGCTTCCATTGACTCAGGAGACATTGTCGTCTGGAGAAAACTCAACAGTGTGGTAAACTATAATAGTGTGGTAAACTGCATAAAGAAACATGATAGGGCACAGAGGAGGGGTGGCTGGGAGGGGAGATGGAAGCAGGACTCAAGAGTGGGCATGTGTGCTGGGAAAAGAAAAAAAGATTCCTTCAAGACTCTCCTTAATCTCAGAACTATGCAAACAGAAACTCTGATTTGAGAAGCAATATATCCATCCATGGGCTAATCCATTGAGTTAGATAGCAGGCTCACACAGAAGAAACTAAGACTGCTAATTTCCCTTCCTTCTCTCTCAGGATGATGCTGTCACTAGGTATTTTGATGGACTTGTCCAGTATGGCAAGGGCTACGAAAACCGCATACAGTTCAGCGGTGATGTAAACGCAGGAGACGTGAGTATCACCATCAACGCAGTGACCATGGCAGACAACGGCACATATGTGTGCAGCGTGCGGCTGAGGAATGACCCCCCCCGGCAGATCACAACCTTGGCTCTTTTCGTCCTTGGTAAGCATGATGGAGGCAACAGACATTAGACACATTAGACAGAACTATCCTCCACTTTCCCAGGAAGTCCTCATCCACAATTCTTTGGTCTTTTCCCACTACTATGGAAGTAGGTTGGAATGCTTGTAGCATCCAAATCCTTTAGATACCTGACTGCAGAAAATAGGCTTTAGAGTTGTATGGTTCACTTTTCTAGCAACCCTTGTCTCATTACAGGGCATTTCTCATTCTCCCTATGGCTTGTCACACTCCAGTTATCAAAGGATGAGTTACCCAACACTATTGGACATATCCCAAATAGCATCTTACAATTCCTTCTTGGATGATTACTGCCAAGAAGAGAGAAACAGATATATTTTCACTCCAGTTCCTTTGAAAAGAAGGTGGCAGGTGCAATACCAACCTCTGTTTAGCAAGAATAAAACACACAAGTGCAGGAGATGGGTTGAAACCAAAAAATACTTCTGATTAATAAAATTAATTCTTTTTTTCTTTCTTAAGTTGCACCATCCAAGCCAGAATGCAAGGTTTTGGGGACAGCAGAATATGGACAGACAATCAATCTGACCTGCAATTCTCATGAGGGCTCCCCAAAGCCCAGATATACCTGGCAAAGCTTCAATGTACAAAATGACCCCCGTGCACTACAAACAACAGAAGGTATGAGAAACTCAAACACATCACCTGTCTGAGATATTTGTAGATCAGGGCTGGAAAAAAATTGAAATGTAAATACAAAAACACACTTAAGGATTTTTTTTAGGAAGTTCTCTGACCAGGATTTTGAAAAGTTGTCCTTTTGATGTAAGACACACTCACAAGTTACTTAGCAGGGAGAAAGGACTGTCACCTGAAGTAACAATGGTCAGTAAGGTTTTCACTTCAGCTCTCATCTGGTGAGAAACCTGGTGTCCTGGGTTCAGCAGTAGCAGTCATGTTTCTCCTCCTTGGTAGCTGGTGCAGTGCAGTGTTTTGACTTTCAGCTCGGGAACAGAGCTGATAGAGATGTTTTGGTTTGGCCAAGGACTTTGTGAGCCTCATGTTCTGCCAGGGAGGAGGGGAAGCTGGGAGGAAGCAGAGACAGGACACCTGACCCAAACTGACCAAAGAGGTATTCCATACCACAGCACGTCATGCCCAGGATGTAACTGGGAGTTAGCCAGAAGGGCTGGGAGACTGCAGGGTTGGAGGAGGTATCGGTTGGAGCTTGGTCGGGCCTGGGGGGCGAGTTATCGGTCAGCGGGTGGTGAGGTGTTGTATTCTCTTCCCTTGTTATTTCCTTTATCATTATTATCATTGGTGGTAGCAGTAGTGATCTGTGTTATACCTTAGTTACTAAACTGTTCTTATCTCAACCCGTGGGAGTTGCATTCTTTTGATTCTCCTCTTCGTCCCTCCGAGAGCAGGGGGAGGGCAAGAAAGGGGGGGAAGTGAGCGAACGAATTACCTGACTGGGTTTAAACCACGACACCTGGCTCACTCTGGAAGCAGCCAGAAATACTTCCTTCTCAATTGCTGGGTGTAAGAGCATAACATGAGGAATAACACTGAGGTTTCTAACTGGTGTGTCTGTATCTCAGCTTGCTTGACAATGACCAGGCAAAAGTAGCTTTCAGAGATGACTCCTCACATAGAGGAAAGTGGTATGAGAATCAGTTACACCTTCCTGCTTTGAGCATGAGAGAGGTTTCTGGCTTAGGACTGTCACAAAGGCCCAAATATTTAATTTGCTTTCATTTTAAATCAGAATCTGGGGAAAAAAAAAGTTGAAAACTGACTTTCCATGACAGGACCTTTGGTAGAACTATTCACACAGAAATGAGGGTTTAATTCTCTTTGAAGTGTAGTAGTGAAAGAGGACTAAGATTTATTCCTTTAAACAACTTTGTTTCTTCCTGATATAGTTCAGCACCAGAAAGACTAAGTATCTGAACCTACCCTTCCTGGTATAACTTACTGTAACATCACTATGTAAACTAAACATGATCATATTCAACTGTCTGTTCAACACAATAACCGATTCTTGCATAAATTATCCAAAATACCAACCACCACCAGGGACACAAGCCTCATTCATCTGACTGGCCGCTACGTGGTGCCAACGCATCACACACAGCCCTGAACACACCAGGATTTGTCGGTTTGTAGCAGCAGCTGCCTTTCTGCTTCTGTTCTTTCCTGGGACAGGGGTCTCTTCCATTTCCACCTCATTTTGCTCACCAGAGCACAAATGTCCAAGTAGTGTGCCGACTGTCCCCTTCTGCCCCAAGCTGGCTTGACACCCTACTGCCACTACAAGCGATTGATTGCTTTCTGTGCTAAACAAGTCCCAGTGCTCCAGAGTGTGCAGAAGGCCCTGAGGAGCCACTCCAAAGCTGGTAGTATCCGACCCACATTTTTCCCAATTTGACTCACCAATTACTTTTGATTTAATATGGGAGAATTTACAGTCCAGTTACAGGCTGCTGCTCTGAAAGCTATAAACCTCATACTGCACCCACAAAACAAAAAGGCAAGCAAGCACGGACCGTATTTAGAGATTAAAATAACTAACTCATCATGCAGTCTGTTACTTCTTGCTTTGCATGCTCTTTAACTATCTGGTGCTAGGTGCCAGCAGTGATGACAGAGAATCCCAGTCCCACAAGCTGGCTGGAAAGAAGTGAGATTACAGGGAAAACAAAACAGGAAAGTCACCAAAAAGTATTCAGAGCCTTTTGCTTTTAGAGCTTTTATCAAGTTCATCATGATGTAAAAGCATGTACTACACAGGCAAATGTCAGCTGGAGATGTAACAAACACAAACTGACTGCTTGAGCAGACAGCTAACCTTTAGCATGTGGTTCTGAGCTCTGTTAGGTTGTTCAGAAAGCATCAGTATCACAGCAATTTCATGTCATTGCATTTATTTTCCTTCGTTTACTTTTACAGCCTTCAGGGCCTCTCCCAGACCAGAAAACTATTTCAGCCACTGCTAAATAATTCAGATCTGAAGTCCCAGGAGTTGGAGGACTGAAGAGCTTTTTGTTCTTTTACAAGTTAATTCATCAGATGGCCAGTTCTCAAAGCTAGATGCTGGTTTCGGCCATCATATATTTCTCAGCAAACTCCAATGCAAATGAGCTTTCACTAAGCACACATACCTCTTCACCCTCCACCTACAACTTTCTTTCTAAAAGGAAAGTTTGAATGCCACACATTCCCTGTTATCAGCTCAAAACAGCACACTTCTGTTTGTCCTCCCACAAATCACACTAAAACCTAGCAATGAGCATGGCAGGCCCTGAGGAAGACAGAGCAATCCATCAGCTTTAATAACCTCTCATCACTCCAACTACCCTAGGCTGGAATTGAAAGGCTGCTGTCCCCTGCTTGCTTCCCTTAATTCTTCTCTTTTTTTTTTTGGACTGGATTTGTGTTTCACAACAGGGGAACAAATAACACTGAAGAACATCTCGGTGGATACCTCTGGCTTTTACATCTGCACTTCGACAAACATTGTGGGAAAGGAGTTTTGCAACATGACAGTTAGCGTAATGCCACGTAAGAGACAAGACTTGCTTACTGGAAGAGTGGTAGCAGAGAATGGATCCTAGCTAAGTGTCAAAAGATTAATGGAGGCAATGCAGTCAGAAGTATAAAATTCTCCTTTCTCTCTCTGAAAAAAAAGTACACTTTTTTACTTTTAAGTAAGATTCTCTGCATTGTTTTACTAATAGAGCAATCACTAACTCTAGGGTTAGTTCACAAATGACAAAAAAATGTGCACGGCGAGACAGGACTGAGCCCAAAGAGTCTGAAACTAAACTGTATCAAGAAGTACAGCAGTTGTTCAGATCCAGGGGCTCCTCCATATCACTATTTAACTAATTGCTCCTGCAGACTTAACCAGGTACCTAGTACAGAATGAATTCCAGTTGCTGTAGTCAAACAAACATGGCTTCTACTCAGTGTGTATCTGGTAGTGAGATCTGACCTCTGGTGGTGGGATTCGAAGTCCAACGATTGTGCTGATTGCTTTGATATTGTTCTCAGTGAAAAGCACTAATACTTTTCTTCCTGTTTAGCATCCACGAACATAGCTCTCTACGCTGGCATCACTGGTGGAGCTGTTGCTGCAATTACAGTTATTAGTATTTTAGTCTATTGCTGCTGCTGTCAGACAGAGAAGGAAAAGGACTATGAGATGACGTAAGTACTTTTCTCTAGAAAAACACATGTGAGGTATGAAGGATTCAGGTTCTCCCTCCACCCTCAACACAGAGTGGAAAGCAGAGGAGGAAGAAAGAAATCAAGGAAAGCATGCACTGCTTTCTCCTTTCAGTTTCTACCCTAGTAGCTCCCAGCTCTTCTCTTACAATATGCCCACTATTACCAGACATCTTTGTGGCCTCTGGGGTACAACCAAAACATTCAAACCTTGGAACTGAATTACCAAGCTAAATTCAGTCAAGCATGCACAGCTACTTGATAAGCAAAGCCCAGACTGTTTCTCATTTCCCTGAGCCCCTACAGCTGTCTCTGTCCTTGCTAGCCTCATACAGAACCAAGGTGATCTGTATTCAGAATTATCACTCCAAGACCGAAACATTTTGTTTATTCTCATGATGGAAACAGCCCATTGGAAGAAAAGTGGGATAAGAAAAGATACACCAGTCACTCTTTCTCTACATACATGCTATTAAAAAAAAAAACAGCAGTTCACGCACCTCTTGCATCACCAGTGAGACTTAATTTCTGGAGTTCAGTTTGGTACACTTCCAGGTCAGCTTGGGGCAGTCTAAAACCCTTCTAACACAAAACCTCTTCAGCAACATTTCTAGCTGATTTAAATTAACATCTCTATCCCTCAACGATATTTTAGGGAGCAAGAAGATAAAAATGAACACTCCAAGGTGATGCCTACAAGGCATGTGAGAGCAGAGGATGATGTTGAAGACAAATGAAGAAAGAAGCGGGAAGCCAGTGCCATCTTCAGGCTTTAATGAGGCACAGACACCACTGCAGAGGAGAAACCAATCCCTCTTTTTTACTGCAAGAAGATTTTTCGGAATAATAAGGTGAAAGCTGATGGCTCTGCCTTCCAAGTTCTGGAAGAGAATATTCTTGTCTCCCTGGAAAGAAGTGACTACATATAGTGAGTACCTAACCTCATAGCAGAAAATGCATTTGAGGCACGGTTTTATCCAGTCATCTAAAAATAACCAGTCTTCTAGACTTCCCATTCCTTCAAAAAAGAAGCCAGTCAGGTCTATTTGGAGAACAGAGTTGCTGCTGTATCCCCAGCTCCACAGAAGCTTTCAAAGTCACCAACAGGAAGTCATCAAGGAAAAGTGGTCTTGTTCATGGTGTTACACATGTGCAACAGCTTACAGCACTGCCCAGTACAGAAACTGTTTTATGCAGACTGAAGCAAGCTGATTTTTGACGGACATTTTATTGAATGTGTTCTCTGTATATATTATACATGCACACATAAATAAAAATAAGGAAACCATTCACAAATGACCAATGAAAGTCTCCTATTTTGGAACAACAATGCACACTAATGGAATGGATAAGTTAATAATTTAGATGAATTTGCAATTTAGCATTTCCTCCTGACTGTTGCATGGGCAAGTCAGTAATAATCCATTGATGCCACTTCTGAAAAAATGACAGTGTGAGAACATGTACGTGGCAAACAGATCTTCAATAAAAGGGGGTGTGGAGGGGTGGACAGATAACGACACACTGAGAAGAAGTACCATCTTATTCAAAATTGTAACAATTTAATCAGAAGCGCTGTATGTCCAAATGTTGAGAGTTAGTTTATCATTAGTTTATCATCTTTGGAACAGAATGGACTGTCTTCGTCCAAGAGATTGGCAAGATGGTATTAGAACAGCATTAAAGCTGTTTGAAAGCTTTTTGTTTATTTGGTTTGGGTTTTTTGTTTTGTTTTTTTAGGAGTTGCTCAATAAATAACTTACACAACAATATTTATTCTTTCAAAGGTCTCTCCTGCATCATCTTGGAATCACAGAACGGTCTGGGTTAGAAAGGGCCTTAAAGCTCATTCAGTTCCAATCCCCTACCATGGGCAGGGACACCTTCTGCTAGAGCAGGTTACTCCAAGCCCTGTCCAACTCAGCCTTGAACACTGCCAGGGATGGGGCAGCCACAGCTTCTCTGGGTACCCTGTGCCAGCGGCTCACCACCTTCACACAGAATTTCTTCCTTATGTCTAATATAAGTCTCTCCTCTTTCAATTTAAAGACACTCGCCCTTGTCCTGTCACTATATGCCCTTGTAAAACATCTCTCTCCTGCGTTCCTGTAGGTATTGTAAGGCTGCTACTTCTTCAAATTCAGGAGTTTAAGAGAAGTCCTGCAATGTCTCCCCCATACCGTTTACCCCCAAAGTCACTGCTTTTAAACCTGTAAGAAAACTCTAACATCTAACTTGCAAGCAGAACCAGAAATTCTCCTACACACAGGCAACACTTTCTAGATTCCGAACTATGATAATCAGACTACCAGAACTGTTATTCTGGCTTCTTTTCTGCCTGCCTCTGTCTTACTTGGTACTTAAAAAGACAGTTATTCATTTCAACTATTAACAACTTCAAAAACCAACAACCAGAGTTCTTTACAAAGTACAAACAAGCCCAAATCTCTCAGGCAATGAAGAAGCTGAAATGTAACTGAGCAAGACATTCTAAGGACCTATTCCCATGCTTAGTTTGGATGCATGACAGAATGTTGCAAAAATGGATGACAAAAAAAAACCAAAACTTTCCATACAGAAACTAAAGGCAGATAAATAAAGTGCACAGCTCTGAAACAGAGCTGATACTTTCTTTTCATTTGTAACAAGCAAGGATAGTACAAATTATCTGATTTCACAGTATCACAGTATCACAGTATGTTAGAGATTGGAAGGGACCTCGAAAGATCATCTAGTCCAATCCCCCTGCCGGAGCAGGAACACCTAGATAATGTTACACAGGAATGCGTCCAGGCGGGTTTTGAATGTCTCCAGGGAAGGAGACTCCACAACCTCCCTGGGCAGCCTGTTCCAGTGTTCCGTCACCCTCACTGAGAAGAAGTTTCTTCTCAAGTTTAAGTGGAACCTCTTGTGTTCCAGTTTGTACCCATTACCCCTTGTCCTATCATTGTTTGCCACTGAGTAGAGCCTGGCTCCGTCCTCGTGACACTCCCCCTTTATATATTTATAGACACTGATAAGGTCACCCCTCAGTCTCCTCCAAACTATAGAGACCCAGCTCCCTCAGTCTTTCCTCATAAGGGAGATGTTCCACTCCCCTAATCATCTTCGTTGCCCTGCGCTGGACTCTCTCCAGCAGCTCCCTGTCCTTCTTGAACTGAGGGGCCCAGAACTGGACACAATATTCCAGATGCGGTCTCACCAGGAAGAGGGGAAGGAGGACCTCTCTCGACCTACTAACCACCCCCCTTCTAATACACCCCAGGATGCCATTGGCCTTCTTAGCCACAAGGGCACAGTGTTGGCTCATGGTCATCCTGTCGTCCACTAGGACCCCCAGGTCCCTCTCCCCTACACTGCTCTCTAACAGGTCGTTCCCCAACCTATACTGGAACCTGGGGTTGTTCCTGCCCAGATGCAGGACTCTACACTTTCCCTTGTTATATTTCATCAAGTTACTCCCTGCCCAACTCTCCAGCCTGTCCAGGTCTCGCTGGATGGCAGCACAGCCTTCTGGCGTGTCAGCCACTCCTCCCAGCTTAGTGTCATCAGCAAACTTGCTGATAGTACACTCAATTCCCTCATCTAAATCATTGATGAATATATTAAATAATACCGGTCCCAGTACTGACCCTTGAGGCACTCCACTAGATACAGGCCTCCAACTAGACTCAGCCCCATAGACTACAACTCTCTGGCTTCTCTCCTTCAGCCAGTTCGCAGTCCACCTCACTACCTGATCATCCAGTCCACACTTCCTCATTTTAGCCGTGACGATGCTGTGGGAGACTGTGTCAAATGCTTTGCTGAGGTCAAGGTAGACCACATCCACCGCTCTGCCATCATCCATCCACCGTGTTATTTCCTCATAAAAGGCAAAGAGATTGGTCAAACATGATTTTCCCCTGGTGAAGCCATGTTGACTGCCCCTCATAACCTTCTTACCCTTGATATGCCTTAAGATGGTACCAAGGATAAGGTGTTCCATCACTTTCCCAGGGATGGAGGTGAGGCTGACCGGCCTATAGTTACCCGGGTCCTCCTTCTTGCCCTTTTTAAAGACTGGAGTGACATTTGCTTTCCTCCAGTCCTCAGGCACCTCTCCCGTTTCCCAAGACTTGGTAAAGATGATGGAGAGTGGTCTAGCAATGACTTCTGCCAGTTCCCTCAGCACCCGCGGGTGCATCCCATCTGGACCCATGGATTTATGGATGTCCAGATTGCTCAACTGGTCTCTAACCCATTCCTCCACAGATTTAGACAAAATTAAAGCAGCACTAAAGTACCTAGGGGAAGACAGGAAAAGCTAGCAATACTCAATTCCAAAGAATGAATGTATGTATACCCAACTTGTATACTCACTTCCCTCAAAAGGAAAGAAAGAGAAAATGAACGACCAGGCAAAAAAGTAAATTCCTACTTTACCTTCTACACAGCCTATAGTAAATCACTGTTATGTTCAATTTTCACAGTCTATTTCCAGTATCCCTCTTCTCCTTCACATACTCAAAACCACATTTCAAGAGGACTCACTCCATGATTTTTCCAAGGAGAACAGTGGAGCTGAGCAGCCTATGGTTTCCTAGATCATAGAATCATAGAATGATTAGGGTTGGAAAGGACCTTTAGATCATCTACTTCCAACCCCCCTGCCATGGGCAGGGACACCTCACACTAAATCATACCACCCAAGGCCTCGCCCAACCTGGCCTTGAACACTGCCAGGGATGGAACATAATCATCCTTTTGACAGGTGTGTGCAGTATTTGCCTTCCTTTGCTGTGCTTTTCTGCGCTTTCTAGGATTCTTCAACGGTATCAGGCAGCTTTCTCAGCATCCTCAGATGCAGCCCATTTGCCTCTTTGTACTTGTATGGATCTAGAACTCCCAACTGATTCCTGACACGCTCTTCATCCACTGCTGGTGTTCTCTTCCCTGAACCCTTTCTGAGCATAGAGATCCTAGAGACCTTATTAGAAAAGGCTGAAACAAATGTTTGAGCACTTCAGCCTTATCCATGGTACGACAGCTATGTTACTAAACCAGTCACACAATTCAGCAACAAGACTTTTTCCTGTTCAGTCTTTCACTGCTAACAAAGTTACAGAAGCTCTTCTTGTTGACCTTGACTCCTTGCAAGCATCAATTCCAGGTGAGCTTTGGCTCTCCAAACACCATCCCTACAGGCTGGCCAGTGTTTGTGCATTTTTCCTTCGTAGCCCACACGTGCTTCTGCCTCCCTTCCCTGCTACTAGACTACTGCGTATAACTAGAGAGCAGCCATGAGTTCCCTGTATAGACAAGAAGGTCACTCAATGCATCTACCTGCATTTCTGGACTTCCCTTGCATTTGGAAGATGCTGTTCTTTATGAACTCCTTTATTCTTCAGACCTGTATGAAATCTCCAGGGATTCCACCCCTACCCACTTCCTGCATAACCACCAAGGTCTGCTCTCATTGCCTTCCTCTCTCTTGTCAGGATTTTGAGAATTTTTTCCAGTACAGAGACATACAAAAATCTGGCACTGCTACTGCTTATTTCAAGATTCAGTGCACAGTTAAGAACTGATCAGACAGACAAGAGTTAATTACCTCACAATCCCTGTTGCTAGAGTAACAGCACTACTTATTTGTATCATCTGTTCCAGGAGAGACACCAAGGCAGGCTTCTGTTTGATGAAGTTCACAGCACAATGAACAAACTGTTAAGATTAATTCTGGATGCATTGGGAGGTAAGGGGGACTTGAAACTTCTGTCTCCTCCATTTCACCTGTTCACTAGGGAATGAAGGGGACTGTTTAAGAACGGTAGAGAAGCTTGTGGGAGCTCCAACGACAGAAGCAAGGAAAAGTGAGGGAACAGAGATAATACAGGCTTAGACTAATCAAAGTGTTTGCCCATTTCTTCTTTTTACTGAATCATTGCAATAAAAATTAATTGGCAGCTCATTCTGTGGTTGATAGGGATGATAATCCTATCAACCATATCCCTATCAAGGTATAAGAATCCCACAGAAAACATCAAGTGGGTGGAAACTAGATAACAAACTTGCTACTCCCCTGCCATACTACAGTACATTTACTCTGCCAAAGGGAAAGACACTGTTAAAACCTTCGCAGTCAGCTGCATATACCTCCATCTATCAACCAGAAATTAAAAACTCAGTTTCACACATATACTGGAGTCACTGAACTTTGGGAAAAAATCTGAAATTCTTGCTAAGGGGAAGGATTAGCATTTTTTAATTTAAACTAACAGGTCAAAAGCACAGTCCTTCTGTGTTAATT